TCAAGAAACTTCAGTTTGGTTATTGATTAGTACTGTAAAAAGAATAAAAGTAGCAGAATTTGATGGATGGAAAGCGATATGTCGATAATCTCTGGGAAGCTACTAACTCCATCACCGATAGCAGCAGCCCAGTTTTCCCTTGTTCTTTAACGTTAACTGCGTACGCAATTAATGAGGAAAGAAGACTTAAAAAAGGGACCGGAAAGAATGTTCAGAAATTGGCAGAAGAAATAAAGACAGCAAAGCCTAGAGAATGAAGAAAAACTGTATTTTACTTCCTTTTTCATTTCATTTTTTTTCAGTCAAGTTTTTGCTCACAAAAAACAAAAAAAAAAAAAAGGAAAGTGGAAGAAAGCACTGAAATGATAATTTAAACAAAAGGTGTAATCCTAAATTGTTGCAAGAATTAAACAAGTTTTCAAGACTACTTAGTAAGCGTACACAAATACATATTTTGTAGCGTAGTTTGATCATCTATCGGCGAGGAAGGATTGAAAAATAGAAATACGATTTAAAACGAGTGTTCGTTCATGTATAAAATATACCTATATGTTTATATACATAAAGCAGCTTGTCGCTGTTGTTGTTGTTTTGCTGCTGCTGCTGCTGCTGCTGCTGCTGCTGCTGCTGCTATAGCTATTGATGCTGATGTCATTAGGATTATTGTGGTTTGCTAGAAAGGAGGGAAAGGGAAAAGGAAAAAAAAGAAAAGAAAAAGGTGCAAATAATTGGTGTTTTAGGCTTGTCGCAAACTATTTAGTGGTGCTGCATTTTGTGGTTATGTTGAGTATTGCTGTTGCTGCCTTTGGTAAAACAGAATTTAAATGCTGATGTGTTGTTGTGGTGACTGGTGGTGTTCCGTGATGGCTGAAAAAATCCGCATAACAGTATCCGAAATCGATAAAGTATCCGGGGTAGCGTCAGCCTTTTTGCAATGTTTCTTTAGCAACTCAACATCACACGTACATGTAAATACACGTACATACATAAACAATTTGCAACGTGCAACATAGGCTGTAATCTAATCAACTGTAATGCTGTGAAAAATGCGGTGAAAGACAGCAATGATGGAAACGGGTAAAACGATTCGAGTCACTCGGTGAATGAGGGGCGAAGAAGAGGATGGAAGTCGAGGGGATATACGGGCCGTTAGGGGAGAAAATTTCTAAGGCTTCTCGAAACGAGATAGTGACAGAAAAAGAAAGACAGGAAAGGACGGGAAGCAGGGGAAAAATTTTTTCATGAAATATTTCTAATAAATTAAAGCCTTTGTTTGGCATTTGTTGAGCCTTACAATTTTCCAATTATCAATTCATAGTTATTAGCCTTGTTTTGAACTAAACGGCAGTTTGATCAAGAACACTCGTTTTTGCTCCACGATGCCTGTCCTCCGGTTTGTCAATTAGTGCTAAATGAGCAAAATTCAATTAAGCTAGCTGTTGAAAACCATTGTGAAAGGTTCAAGATCGATTTTTTTTTAACGCAATGTAAATGCCTTTTTTTCCTTCATTTGGTTTATGGTGTTGGAAATCCACAGAAAAACCGCATAGGGAGGGGATTTGAAGCGATAAAAGTACATCCATCAGTACTTTGGTGGAGGAACAACATTTCAAAAGTATTTTCTCCGTAAAAAAAGTCTCCTAAAAACTTTCATTTTAGCTTCTATGTATGTTCATTTGCTGAAAATGACAGGAAAGAAATTTGTTGCACTAACTGAGGGACGACAGATAGAAACTGGAGGGATCAACAAAACGACAAGCATTAAAATTGAAATAAAAATATAAATTGAAACTAAGATTAAAATTAAAATCAAGTAAAATGAAGGAAGAAAATTTTTTTTGAAAATGACAGTTAATAGCTGAATGGCTAGGAGTTTAGAAATGCGAGTCAAATAAAATAATGCTGTACAGTGGATAGATTAATGTCTAATTTAGAAATCTAAGTTTTATTTGGAATTTTTAAATTTAATTCATTGATGTTCGAATAAGATACGGTATAGGAGTGCAGTTGCGTAAACAAACATCGTTGCAATTATGCTGAACGACCAGCAAAATTATTTATAGTCGTCATTGCGGTGTACTGGCTTAGCCTTCAAAAACATGCTGCCCTTTTTGTAAGTCAAACTAATGTCTGTTGTTAATTTAGTGGAAAAAAAAACATCGTATCTGAAAAAACTAATTAATTTCATTAATTTGAATGCTAAAATTAGTAGAAATTCACGAAACATACAGTTTATCTGACTGATAACTGTAAGATCCGTTGCTGTTTTCAATGCTGTTAACATTATTTTCCCATCACCGATTGATGATCCATCTTTGTTGGGACCGAAGTGCTGTTATTTGAATAAACTTTTCTTCCCTTCCTCTCCTTCCCCTTGTCCTTCAAAAAAAAAAGCAGAAAATTTTAACGCCTTAAGTTGAAAAATTTAACAAGCAGTTAGTTGTGCCTGTTTTGAGAAGGGTTTCTTTCTTTTCCCTCTTTTCTTTTTCTGTTCAGTTAAACACTTCAAAACAAAAATATATTCTCTAAACAACAAAAATGCGTGTACGCTTCTATGCTTTCACAAGTATGTTTTGCAGCAGATTTGAATTGGCTGCTTAGAAACGCAGATGGATGATAGTTTTTGATCAGTGATATTTCAGAATTTTTGCTAATGTTTGATCATTACCATCGTCATCATCATCCTCATCATCGTCGTCGTCGTCGTCATCATTCACAAAGTATTAGCATTACGCTTTTCCAACAGATCACTCAGTTGTTAGTCTTCGTGACTCAAGGGACAACTTTTTGGCTGTTTTGCCGTTGAAAGCCTTACAGGCAGATGTGGAGGGCTAACCAAACAATCTATTTTAGTGGTCTTCAAAAAAATGTCATCTTAATACCAAACCAACATTTTGACCAACTATATAAATTTTTTGCCAGTTAATAACAGCTTTTGTTATTATTTTTTTCTTTACTTTTTTATGTGTCATTATTGATGCTGTAAAATGGAACAAAAAAGACAACTTAAATGGTATTAAATTTAATTTGTAACTGCAAAGAAAAAAATTTTTTTTTAAGGGAAAAAACTTTTTTGAAGAATTTTCATTATTTTGATTGAACATTTTGAAATTTAAAATTTAAAAAGATTTTTATGAAATTCTCATCAGCTATTTACTATTTTTTACTTTTGTTTTGGTCTTATTTTTTTCTTTTTGCGACGGTTACTATCTGCTTTATGAAAAAATCAGTGACAACGGCACTAATAGAATTTTCTCATCAAAATAACTATTTTTTTGCTTCAATGACTTTGTGGTTGTCATAATTTATGAGCTTTTGCATTTGGGTGATAGTAGATTTGAGGGCAGCAGTATAAGTGGTGATGGTGGTAGTGTTGGATGATAAATAAACATCAGCGTTGAGGAGGAACTACTGAATATTTTACAACAAAATTAAGTTTGTTGAAAATAAAAGGAAAACGAGGAAACAAAAAGCAAAAAACAAAAACAAAATAAAACGAA